GTTCGAGCCCGCCTGGGGTCGCTTCTTTTTTATTGGTTCTGTTCTTTTTTGGTCCTTTTCTTGTTCGCACTTCTTCTTCCTATTCTGCCAACTTTTTTGCCCATTAATTTGGCTTGATGTCGAGGATTTCTATGTTGATCTGGCCCCCTCGGCTTCACACTGTACAAAGCAGCCAGGTTCTCATGAGCTCACCATTCACCAAGCCCGGAAGGAGCACGTTCTGGACACGGGCAGTGAGGGTGCACAATCGGAGATGACGTTCTGACGACGGGACTTGAAGGCCCGCCGGCCGGGCGGATCGAAGCATCGGGGCTCGTCGTCTCCGATACAAGCAAGGAGCATGACGACGATAGTTGCGCGTAACGGACGCTTGCCTAGAAAAGAACAAGGATGGACTGCGCTTCCCCACCTCCTCTCTGTCTTGAGCTTCCGCAGACGACACGGATGCTAACGATACGGCTTGCACGCAGCTTCGAGGCGGCTCCTGCTCTCAGCCCGCATCTCGAAGCCGAAAAAGCGGGGAGAGGGTGTGCTGTTGGACGTCATTTGTAATGGCTCGAGCTCGAGTGGCGCGCTGTCGGTCGACACTGGCTGGCCTGCCCTGGTCGGTGCTCGTGGCATTCACGGCCCAAAATTCGTGGCACCTCGGAAGTGAAGGAGTTTCACGCCCAAATCCGCCCTCACCTCCGCCCAGCCCTGACGTCGACTTTCGAAAGCGAGGTGCGGAAAGGGAAAAGGGAAAAAAAAGTCCAAGATGCGTCAGTCTCTCCCAGCACACGAGCTCGGGCACAACCGCGGTTGAATTCGGTGGTTGCCACTCGCGCCTCTCGGTGTTGGGGGGCTGCGGCGGCAAAACACCTGCTGCTGATACGCACGCGCAGCAGAGCGAGTGCGCGCCGCCCAAACCAGCCTGTCGATGGAAGATCTGCGTCAAGCAAAGGGCCGAAGTTCGGCGGCGAGTGCACGCACTCTCTCAAAGTGGTCACTACTCGACGGAAACGCCGAACAGCCTCTCCGCATTCTTTTGTTCAGAGCAGAGTCGAGCATTCTCCACAAACTCAATCTATCGCTTCTTCATCCATCATCTCCCTCCCATACAAAGTTCCGATCCATTCGAGTCGCATCGTTGTGAATCCGCAAACATGTCCGAGTCCAAGAAGATCACCATGGAGCAGCTCAAGGAGCACAACACCCACGAGGACCTCTGGCTCCTCATCGACGGCAAGGGTACGTTGCCCCGGAACCATCTCCAGCACCGCCAGCACCGCGATCTTCGAGCACGTATAACAAAAGCGTCTACCGAGAGATGGCACTCGGATGCGCTTCGAGATCGAGACCTCGACCGACTGCTTGGCTGGATGTAGCGAGTCAATCTGCAACTTGCGCTGACCTTTCTTCTTTCTCATAACCTTGCATCGGAATCTCTGTTCGGCAATCATCGCGCGCATCCTCAGTTTACAACGTCAGCAAGTTCCTCGATGAGGTACGTAGTTCTCCAGACGCCGATCTGTCACGGCTGGCTCGATCAATCACGACCGCGCCGAGTTGCATGGATGATCAGTTGTGCTGACGGCCGATTCCACGTTTCCACCCGACTCCATCCGACCCTTCGTCTGCAATTGCGCCGCGCTCTCGTCCAATCCCGGCAACGATGTGAACCGCAACGATCCGACGACTGTCACGCGCGCACTCTCACTCCTGTTCGCGCCGCACAGCACCCCGGTGGTGACGAGGTTCTCGTTACCGAGGCCGGCAAGGACGCCACCGAGGCGTTCGAGGATGTCGGCCACTCGGAGGATGCCCGTGCGCTCCTCGGCCCCATGCTCGTCGGCGAGCTGGAAGGCGGCGTAAGTACCCTTACCGACACACAGCTGCACGTAATGCGAAGGCCACTCATCGGCGTCGCAAACGGACGAGCAAGCTAGCTTTGGTTCCGACATTGGTCCATCGATGCGTGCAGCTCTTCTCGCCCTGTAACTCTGCCCAGAGGCTGCGCTCGACACATGCTGACAACTTGTCCGCTCTTCCGCCTTCTGGCATCCCACATGCGTGCGATTCCTCGTCCATCAGACCCAGAAGATCAAGACCACCAGCGGTGCCGTGACCAACGAAAACAACACCAACCTCAACAGCCAGTGAGTAGTGCCCTCTCGTGGTCCCACACGTGCAGTAGCGGACCGAGGAAGTTTCGGCTTGGAGCCACACACGTTCAATTGCTGACCTCCGTCACCTCGATGATCAACTCAACAGCCCTCTCTTCATGTTCATCCCCCTCATGCTGCTGGGTGCCTACCTTGCATACAAGTACGTCTCCTAGACACGGTCCGCCGACCCTGTTCGCACGCACATGTACAATTGCTTTCCGTTATCGAATACATCAGCTTTCGAGCGTATGAAGGTGGAGTATAGCCTGGATCCGCCCGCTGTGCAGAACAGACGTGTGTGAGGCAAACAGGTGCAAGGCACACAGGTGCACGGGCTGTGATTGAGAGCTCGAGGCCCGTCTGGGCGAATGCTGAGCATTGTAAGATTGTCGATGGTGCAGAAGTCGCGCTTGGGCCCAACGTCCAAGAAGTGGAGTTTTCTTCCCCGCCCGAACGCGCTCGGGCATTCTTTCCGGCCAACTCAACGACCACCGTCAGCACCACGACCACAACCACGGATGCCTTTTCGACGATCGGGACTGTCGCGAGTGCCAATGGAGGTGCTGAAGGCAATAAGCCGGCACCAGCCGCGAACTCGAGCTCGAACGCCATGACTGGAGCCAGTCCGTCTCGAAGTCGCGCCAACGCAACTGCGTTTTTGACGTCGCCTTCGAAGCGCGCGACCAGCGATCATGGACGACACGATCCCAAACGGCACAGATCGACCGCACAATCCAGTCAAGATCCAGCTTCATTGCCCGAATATGCGCGTCGTGTGATCATCGCGCTGGATCTGGATGCGTTCTACGTGTCTGCATGTCGCAAGCGCGATCCTTCGCTCATAGGCATCCCGATCGGGATCCAGCAAAAGGCGCTCGTTGCGACCATCAGCTACGAGGCACGTGCAGCCGGCGTGGACAAACTCGATAGCATCAAGGAGGCGCTCAAAAAGTGCCCCGACATGGTGCTTGTCAACGGCGAAGACCTCACGTACTTCCGCCAGGTATCGTCGCAAGTGTGGCGCCTGGTGCGCTCGGTGGTTTGGCACAAGAGGGTCGAGAAGCTCGGGATGGACGAGCTGTTCTGCGACGTCACAGAGATGGTTGACCATCATCTGGCTACAGCTGCCAAAGGACGGCGGTACTTCGACCTCCACCTCCCCGATGCGCCCGACAAGGACGAGCGGTACGGATTCGAGTACGAGGCTTGGCCGAACGAAGGTCCTGGACACGTCTTTCCGCAAGCTGCATCGGATCATTTGAACGAGAACCGGCCCGACTGGTGGCAGGAACGCATGCTGGTTGCAGCTCATCTGGCCTTCTATTTGCGCCAGAGGATCTCGGATGAGGTCGGACTCACATGCTCCGCAGGGATAGCACCGGCCAAGTCGCTCGCCAAGCTGGTTGGAGCACTCAACAAGCCGAACCAGCAGACGACCTTTGCACCGCCCATAGCGAGCTCTTCTGCTGGACGTTTCATTGATGCAAAGATGCAGGAGGCACGGCTGTTGCACCACATCACCGAATTTCTCGACCCGCTGGACCTGCGCAAGCTGCCGGGCTACGGACGAGTTGTGGTGGAAAAGATCCGAGACCACGTGCATCCGGAAGCGACAACCACAGCAGCGCAACGCGGCCCCAAGGTGCGGTCGAACTTCATGGAGCCCGCCAACGTGTCGGATGAAGAGACAGAAGGAGCGGGCGAAGCCGCTCCCAGCACGCCAGGGTTGACGGTGGGGACGACGCGCAAGATGCTGTCGCTGCAAGAGATGGTCGACCTGTTCGGCGACGTCACTGGTCCAAGGCTGTGGGCGCTGGTATGCGGACGAGACGCCGAGCCCGTAGTACCAGCTCCAGACTTTCCGGTGCAGATCTCGATCGAAGACACGTATCCCTACCCGAGCCTTCGGGGCGCGGCGATTCATTCCGAGATCTACCGCCTGTCGCTGTCTCTGCTACGCCGGCTGGAGCTGGAGCTGGTCTTGTCGGAGCGTAACTCATCTGACAGCGGGAGTGCTAGCCAGCCAGTAGACGTGCCAACAGACTCGGGCGTTGTGCGCGACTACAAGGATGCCATACCCGCGACTGCTAGCAAGCCTGTCAAGGGCAAGGCAGCGAGTTGGGTGCGCTACCCGCTCAAGCTTCGGCTGAGCGTGCGCCAGGGATGGAACAACCGGGTCTCGAAGCAGGCGCCGATGCCGGTGGAGGTCTTTGAGCTGGAGCAGCCGAGGGAGGTGCGTGCCGGAGCGATGGCCAAGGCATGCAAGACGTTGCTGCGTGCGCTCATTGGTGGCGACGACGTGGTGGGCGATGCCATGAACCTGATCAACATTGCGGCGCTGGAGCTGAGCGAGAAAAGGCCGCAGAGGGCGTTGGTCAGCTTCTTTGCATCAGCATCAGCCGGGACAGAGCGCAGTATTGGCGCAAGCTTTCGAAAGATGCCAGAGGCAGAGGCAAAGACTGGCGAGATTGACGCAGCGGTACTGGCAAGTCTGCCTGCAGAGTTGCGGGAGGAGATCATGGCCGAATATAGTCTCGGTGCGTCGCTCGAACGAGACACAGGGCTGCGAAGGGCGGACAGACCTTGGATGGTGGCACCTGTCCAAGGAGACGACGTGGATGATGGGACAGCTTCGCTGAGATGCGCCACGTGCGGAGAAGCGATGGAGGTCTGGATGCAGCACGACCACGAGCTGTATCCGCTGCTCGGACTCCCCGTCGAAAGCTCATCTGCGCACCTCGCCGCACGGTCACGACCATCATCCTCGCCACCATCGACGCTGATCTCATCTCAAAGTGTGGACGACGGTGGGCAAGATGCTGTCGTTGGATCTCCTGATGACGACTCGGAGCAGGACGAAGAGCTGGAGCAGTGCAAGCTGTGCGGGGAGGCGCTGCGCCCATGGATGCTCACTGCGCACAGCCGGTTTCACGAGATGGAGGATGCTTTGGAATAGCCGTCACTCTCTCGTGTCCAGCTATAGAAGCAATGGGTATAGTAGACAAGCATACGAGCGCTCTTGACCGTAGGACACTGAGGGAGGGTGTGGGGATGCCCGATTTTCTCGGGGTCAATTTGTTAGACCGCCACTCGTGTCTTGCAGCAATTGAGCCGCGGCGGGTGGCGGCGAGGACCGGCGCTGCGTCGGCGGCGGTGGGGGTGGAGCGGTGGAGCTGTGGAGCAGTGGAGGAGGAGCCGTTGAAAACACAGGCAGCGTCAGGCTCACAGCGTTAGCCGATTATCCGGGGCAGCTTGGAAGCAGCGGATGCGCTCAGCGGTGTCGCAACCGCTTTGAAAAAGCTGAGCGAAGCTGAACGCAGCGCACCGCAAATCTCGGCCTCATTTCACCTTTTCCAGACCTTTTTTCGTCTGATTTTCGCCGACCGAGTCTGCAGCGAGGCGGTGAGGCGGCGGGGCTGCCTGACTGCCGATGATGAGCGCGGGCAGGCTCTCAACGCTTTCGGCTCAAACGCCGGCCGCATCCCAGCAGCAGCGACTTGGACCCGCGTCGACACCCGCACACTGCTCTACCGACGCTCCGGTCAGCCCACCGATTCCCACTAACAGCACGCGTAGCTCAGCCAGGCGACAAAGGCGAGAGAGAAAGCCGGATCCACTCTCACACTCCCTCACTCTCTCTCGCCCCCCTGATCAGCAAAGTGTCTCAATCACATTCACACCCGGAGCCGGCTCTGACCCTCCCCACATCCCTCCCACCATCCTACGTTCATCGCTCTCGGCGCCGCTCCTGCACCCCACCTTCCAATCTCCACGCGGCATCCGTCATTCCATTCACTGCGCACAACCGGCCTAGGCTCCATCCACCACCTGTGCACCTTCCAGCCTTGTCAGTCGGCAAGCACACCCGACGTCCACTCGTTGCATCCGTCCTTCCTTGCGTCTCCCAGCGCTGGTCTCCGCTGACTAATTCGCCCATTCCGGAGGCGAACTTTACGTGCATCGACTCGCGCTCCAGCCGCGCTTGCACACGCGCACCATGGCGCTCAACATGGACGATCTGATCGGCTCCATGCAGCATGGCTTCCACGCCGGCGATCGGGGCAACGACATCAACGAGATCCGCGAATCGCTCAAGCTGTCGCTCGGCCAGCAGCATCCGCAGCCAGCCGCCGGTCCGTCGAATCCAGCCCATCCATACAACTTTGCTCGACGACATCCAGCCAGTTCGGCCTCGCCCTCCAATCCGGCCCTCGCACCACCACCAAGCTCACTCGACGCAGACGTTGCCATGCTCTCGTCTTCCAGCAACTACTCGCATCACCCCGCCACCTCCTCCGGCATGGGCGGCTATGGGCAGCCAACGTACTTTGGAGGGCCCGGTTCGTGGGGTTCCCAATCGAGCGTCGCTAGCAGCAGCAGCAACTTCGGTGCGCCCGGCACAGGGTGGGGCTACGCGCCGGCGCCAGCCAACACCCCACAGCAGACACCGGTTGAGACTTCGGCGCTCGCACGTCAGCTTCAGGCCGAGCTCGAACGGCAAAATGCCCACGCCACTTCGCCGCCGACACAGCAATCGTCCAACGCATACCCAATACATTCGACAGCAGCAACCGCGTCGCTTTCGCCACAACTCGGCGCGAATCCGGCCTTGTCTCCGCCACAGTCTCCGCCGCAACAGCATCCGCACGCGGGGGCGGCGCAGCAACAAGGCGCACCCAGAAGCTACGTCAACGGCTTCCACACACACCCCGATGCAGACGGCTCGCCCAGAACACCCACGGCTGCATCGGCACAGCCTGGCATGCGCGCAGGCTCGTTCAGCCCATAGCATCCTCCTTCCCGCTCTGTATGCCCACTCATCTCTCTTTCTGTCACTCCTCGGGCCTCTTCTGCAATGCAATCACAATCGCATAAACGTACATGCTTTCTCGCAACACACGCGCACGCACATTTCATGCCACGCCTCCGTGCTCGCTCAGGACATCTGAACGAAGAGCTAGTATTGCAACGACCGAAAACGTAGGGCGAGGGAGCGAGGGAGGTTTTAGACGATGGACTCGAGTTCCTTTGCAAAGACGAGGTTGGTTGCGATCGTCGCCTTCTTCGGGATCGCGTTGGCCGAGTGTGCAGCCTCGGCGGACGTGAACGAGACCACCTGTGTCGAAGGGTTGACTTGCCATCCTCTCTAAAACAAGCGCACAAGACGTTAGGATGCCAAATCCCAAAGTAGCTTTTTGGATGGGGGGGACTTACGGTTTGGGCGAAAGCAAGGACCTGATCCAAGTTTTCAAAGAACAACAGCGTCGCCGCGTCGTGCAGGGCGAGATGGTCGTATGCCTTTTCTTCGCAGCTAGCGATTTCGTTTCGAATCATGTCCATCAACAGATCCACAAAGAAGGCATATTCGTGCTGCGGCGGCTTTTCGCGACTGAGCCTCCACACCTTGGAGTAGCTTCCCTCCATCAACCAACGTTCGAGACTGACAGGATGCTGGAGGAACGTGCTTTTGTTGACCAAGTCCGTAGGCAGCGTTTCGATCAACGTGTGGAACGCCGAGATCTGGTTCGAACTAAGCAGTCGCAACAGCCTCAATCCCAACAGCGGCTCGTAGTTCTCCGAAGCCGAGAGGGTGCTGTCGTAAAAAGGCGTGAGCAGTGAAAGGTATCGGTCGAAACCCGGAATGTCGCCGATGCGAACCGAGTAGAACGCCCCCATCTCCAACACCGACCTCGCCATCTCCAGATCCGCCTTGGATGCGGACGAAGCCACAGAAGGAACGAGTAGGTTGTGCTCCGTGAGCCCGATCTTCAGCTTGGTGAGCAGCGTTCGAACCTCCTCGGGCTTGGAGGCTGGCGACGAAAACGCCGCCACCAAAGCCTTGTGCATCGCCCCCAACGACGTCATCCCTAGAAATATCCCTTTACAGATCGATTCAATACGCTGCGTCGAAGTGTTGGTCGTAGATGTGTCGAGTGCGAGCGCTGGAAAAGGTGCTGGGTGTGCGGAGGAGGGAGAGGATGATGATGGAGTGCAAAGTAACTCGACGGCGCGTGAAGCCCCAAAGTGGAGAAACACAGATCACTCCACGCCCTCCCTGCCAGCTCGCCCAGCATACGCGTCCCCGTTCGATCCCATTCCCGATTTCCGAACTTTTCTGCCGCCTGAATCTGTGCCAACTGGCGGCAGAACATTTCGTGCCATTTTCGCACCGAACCAGCCATCACCATCCGTCGTTCACAAGCCACACGAGTCAGAGCGGAAAGCCAAATACAGTAGACCGGGAGAAGGGCAGCATGGCAGCTGCATAGTGAAAATGTTTTCGTGCTACTCGTCGGCGCGCAGAAACCGTAGTGCGATCGCTTGTTGCCGCGGCACAATGTTGGCCCACGATATGTTGCGATAGACATGCTGGATAGGGCAATAGCAGCATATCAAGAGGCAGTCAGTCGCCGTTCGATTATCGTGAAGACACGCTGACACACTCACGCATGTGGTGATCGGTTCTTCCTGGTGGCTGACCGCTTGTGTGCCCAATCCGCCTCCGTGACCGTTTTGCTCTCTCAGAGACTCGTCACCGTCCGTCTCTACTGTGATATCTGCCGAATCAGCGGTCATCTTGTGCCGAGAAAGCGCCAAAAGAAGCCGCCGTGAGAAGGAGCGAAAGTCAACATCTGCCATCTTTCTTCCGCAGCGATGAGGGTCGGGACCTACACTTTCGACCACACCCTTGAGCTTGACCGATGCTGTCCCTTTGACCGCCCAGAAGACCACACGGTCTCCCGGTGAGAACGGCCGCTTGGCGCCTGCAGGAGACGGCACGGTCGTTTCTGTCGCTGTCAGGCAGCTTTTAGCGCAAGGATCAATGCACGATGCAAAGACCGACGACAGACCCGTCTCTAGAGCCCCCTTGCTGAGCGCGGGCATCGTCGGAAACGATTCGCGCGCGACGACAGCCGGTGCCAAGGAGGCTGGGAAGTCTTGACGCCAGTTGGGATGCTTCAACGCCAGGCTCTGCATGAGCTCGAGGCTGGGCGAGTATCCCAGTGACCCTGTGAGCGCACTATTCATAAATCCCGGCGGACCCAACATGGGCGGCGTGCCTGGATATGCAGCTGCGCCAAAAGGAGAGGAAATCCACGCATGGCTCCACTCGAAGCTGCCTAAGGGAAGGGATGATTGCTGCCCCCATGTCGGATGTGGCGTCGACTGCTGATATTGAGTATACGAAGAGCTCGGCAGCAGAAACGGGGACTCGATCGCTCGAGACGTTACGGCTGGCTTCTTTGGCGACAGTTTTCGTTCTGGATCAGCCCATTCTGCTGCTTGTGGAATCTTTCGAGCTTGGGTAGGGATGTCCGACGGACCGATGACCAGGGTGGAATGACCGGCTGGCCCAGCGACTTGGTTCAAAACGACCTCTTGAAGCTGATCCGCCGGAGTGGGAGCTTCATCCTTCGTATCCTCGCTCTGGCGATTGTTCTTCTGATTCGACCGCGACGACAGGCCGGCGTCGTCCCAGCTCCTTTTTGACGATGTCGGCTTGGTATTGCTGCCGTCTGCTCCATGCTGGTGCTGACCTGCCATATCTGGACGACCGTGAGGATCCATCTTTGCAGACGGATCCTGCTTCCAGTCCCGCTCTTGGACGTCGCGTAATTCTCTCTTCTCCTCGCCTCCTCCCATACCCATCTCTTGGATGTTCTGCTTCTTCTTATCCCTCTCCCGCTGCATGCTCGAGCGCATTTGGGCCTGGAGTCGCTGGAGCAGCCGCTGGTACTGCTCCTGCCTCTGAGTCTTCTTTTCTTGCTCGCTGTTTATCGCTCTGCGCGCATTCGACGGCGCTTCCTTCCTCTCCTTCCGACTCGGTGGCGAGATCTTGCCTGCCTGTGCTCTCCACGTGTGGCCGGAGGGGGATGACGTCGCCGCCTCATCTTGACTTGCTGAGCTGGGCTTCGACCTTTTGCGCTGTTGCTGCCAGTTCTGAAGATGTGCTTGAAGCTCGGCAGGTACCGTAGACGGCCAGCTAGAAGATAGGGGTCGGGACGATTTTTTGGAGAGCGGCTCCACCGGTGAAGTGTCCGCTGATCCCGCGAACGAGTCAGAAGAGGACCGAATCGTACCAGCCGAGGACGGGATGACGGGTTTCTGCAGGTTGGTTCGTCGGATAAAGTCGAAGAGGACCTTGCGTGTGAAGTTCGAGCTGGTACCGCTGGCGGAACGATCTTGACAAGTAGGAGAATGCTGGGAAGCCTTCCCTGACGGGTCGGGTACGGTTGTTGTGGTAGGCTTGCTTTTAGAAGTGCTGCTGGTCCGAGCAGATAGGCCAGCTTTTCCGCTAGAGGCTTCGCACGCAGCTCGCGAAGAGATTGACCCACTTGTTACCCTCATCGGGTCAGGGACTGAGTGCAATCGGCCCGCACGGTTGCCTGTATTGGCGGACGCCGGTGCGCTTTCCGTCGTGCGACTGCCATCGGCGTTCTTCTGCAAGGAAAGCGCGCGTGTCACCGACGAACGAGAACCGGAATCGCCTGGTCCGATAGCAGCGTCACTCGAGAAGGGCTCTGTATCTGGAATGTCCACATTAGCCGCCTTTGAAGAAGCGCTCGAACCGTCGACACGAGATGGACTGGTGCCGAGCTGAAATCCAGCTTCCGAGTCGCGATCCATGTCGCGATCCGAATCGTAGCGTCCATCACTCTCGAGGATCTGCGATGGGTATCGGTGGAGAGGCTGTAGAGGTGGTGCCTGGGGTAAGGCCAGCTGCGAGAGACTTGCAAGATCGAGTGACCAAGGTGGTTTCGAAGCGAGGCCTGGCTGTTGCTCCTTTCCGGAAGGATCGCGAATGGTGTCTTCAAGTCCCGAGCAGACTATGCGCTTTCCCTTCTTGGGTGAAGCGTGGCATCGTTCCGATTGCTTGAGGCTGAGATGATATTCTGACATGGTCGAGAGGTGGCCGGAGGACGCCAGAGGGTACGACGAAGATTGTGACGTCGCATCGCCACAGGTAGTAGCGCTTGGGACATGCTCAGCAGCAACTCCGGCCGACAAGAAGGGAGCCATGTATCTTGCGTTCTGTACGGGTAGCAGACCATAGCCATTCGGCGCTGAACCAGTGTTGGCAAGGGCTGTCCGTTGTAAAACGGCCCTTCGCATGGGAGGAGTAAGCTGCATGGAAGGGAAGCGATCCAAGGTTAAAGCTGGTCTTGTAGCAGTAGAGGTGGGAAGGAGCGACGGCGGTGAAGACTCGGCATTGTTATAGCTTTCCGTTGTTGAGGTGGGTTCGGTCAATGTCGAACCGTCATCGATGAGACTCTGGAGGAATTTGGCGAGGAGGGGATCTTCGATGCTCTCGGAAGACGCGTTGGCGGATGCATCTGTCGAAGCCATACCACTGGTGAAGTGAGATGCATTTCCTGTTTGCGCCCTTCCGTTGAAGCTGGAGTCTGCATCTGGCCCGCCGGGTCCTGCTAGTGGAGCGGTACTGTATACTTTCAGATGAGTGCGACTAGTCGCAGACCGGTCGTTGCGAGATGTGCTGCTGTGAACAATGGCAGTCTTGCTTGGTGTGATATCGATCAAAGCACTTGGAGTTTCGGGAGGCTGAAGACCAAGCTCGCCTAGCGTCAATGGTGACAGAGGCTGCACGTGCTGAGCATGCTGTGAAGCCAAAGCGTCGTCTTGATCCGAGGCATCCAGCCCTTGGAATACAGATGCTGAAGGTACGGCTGATGCATGGCGAACTTCGAGCTTTCCTTCAGAGGCCTGGAAAGGCAGTGTGTTTTTGTACTCCACAGCACGGTCCGACATGTTTGATGGTCCAGCAACGTGGGCGGAACGCTTGGCAGATGCAGTGATTACCTGGCGAAGCGAAGGCGAGTACTCCACTCGATGCTTTGAGATCCAAGCCGGTGGCCAAAAGGCATGAGACAATAACGGCAACAGTGACGACGAGCGAGAAGAAAGCAGGGGAGGATACAAAGGACGTTACGGACGGCCTTCCGCTCGGCTTCGGTGTGCGGCACTTCAATGGGAATGCGGAGATGCAGTCAACTGGACGCAGCAAGCACAGGAAAACGGACAGCCGCTCGCACAATGCGTGATTGCGTAGGGCTACGAGGGCGAAAGCTGCTGCCTCGACGGGTGGCTGAGCCTGGGAGCGTACGCTTGTGCGCTCTCGCGAGCAGCCAGCTAAGCTACGGTATCATAAGGAACCATGGCTGACCTTGCATGGAAACTTAATTGGGCACTAAGGTTCAAGATGGTCCCACCGGCCCGAGTGAGATACTGTTCTGAAGCGTGTCAACGAGCGCCTTCGCGTCGCCACCGTAGTCGAAGGCTGCAGTGCCGTGATTCTGCTTCGATTCCCAATCCTACTTTGCACTTGACGTGCAGCGTGTGATTATAGGAAGGCAGCGGGATAAGCTTCAATTGCTGCTCGTCGAGTGCAGGAGGGTACAGTACAGTTCAAATGGTCCCATCATTGAGGTGGGCGCACTGTATAGAGTAAGTATGAGACTGGCTTCATCGGAAAAGCCGAGTTCATCGAGTGGGCTCCGACGCTCCAACGTGCAGCCACATTCCCGCTCCTTCAGACACAGGTCCCACCCAGCGCCAGTGCACATTGCCTGACTGCAGGAACGATCTCCGAAGAGAGCTGCGCATTCCCGATCGCTCTGCAGCACTCTCGGTTTCGACACTCTGGCTGCGGACGGCATTGGCAGCGGACAGGCACGGGCGGCATTCGTTACAAATACAAGTCAACATTGCAATGCAGAGAAATAGCTTTTGCTGGAGATCGGGATGCGCTTGGTGCTGCATCTAATCGTCGGCGATGGGCGCTTCTTCATCGAGGCGCTTTAGCAAGCGCACGCGCAGCTCGGTCGTCTCGTCGCCTCGAAGCGTGTCCGACACGAAGAAGCATTCGGTCTGCATCTGCACCATCTCGAGAGCGCCGCGTAGCACTCCGGCAAGCACGTTGCTGAACCACAGTCCCCCAGCCGCAGCATCCTGCGGCAGCTCGACAAATTCGGCGAGAGGATTCTCGTCCAATATCAGGCTGAACTCCCGCGCCCCTCCGGACGCGCTGGCCCCAGCTGGCGCAGAAGCGGCCGAGGTTGGCTGTGTCGAGTTTGCACTTTGCGCTGCAGCAGCCAAGCTTGCCTCTTCTTGCTGATGGTGCACGACGACGGGCGTGATGTTGAGGAACATCTTGAATCCGACCTTGCTCACCACCTCGCCCACCTCGCGGAAGTCGGAGCACTTGGACAGGTTCGTGCGTGCGAGAAAGTCCTCTATCAATCGCGTGCCGATATTGTATCCCCTGATGTCGGCAAGTCAGTAGCATCAGCATCACTTCCGGGTTGCTTCGTCTTCGGAGCCACTCAAGCAGACCTACATCTTTTCAAGCTGCTTGTTCACCTCGGCGTAGTCCTCGTAGTCTTTGATGAGCTGAATCACCAAAGAACCGTACGTGAGTGTGAACAGCTCCGCGTTCTAGCGTAGCCATGCAAAAGTAAAGACGTCCATCGTTAGCATCTCTTTTCGCCGAGAAGGCAAATCTTGCAAACATGGACGCAGCAACGTACGATCTTCTCGGTCCGATTCTTCCACACATCTTCGCCTGCTTGCTTGTACTGTTTTGTTGACATGTTGGAAGCCGTTTCCAGTCTGATGGGTCGATGGGGTCCAAGACCAAGTGTGAATGCGTGCGCCCACAGCAGCCTTCTCGGGTGGTCCGTGTCAAGCGCTTCGTGTCCTTCTCTGAACGCGGGACTCGGATGTTGAATTTGTCCGGAATTTAAGGTGTTAGACTCAGACTGGAACCCTTTTTTCACAAAAATTCTCCGAGTCGCTGCGCATTCTTCGACATATGCAAGGGACAAGATCGTGCAGCCACTCGCTCTCGCCGGTGCCTGGCAGTTCGCGCTTCGTGCCTCCTCCCACCACCACTCACAGACACACACAGAGGCCCGGAGACTAGACAATGCATTCCCAATCCTGCCCCTCTCTCGACGCTCGCAGCGGCATGCTCACCTCGGCACACTGCAAGGCGGCCTCCATTCCGTTGGCTGCATCTTGACGAAGCATCTCTGCACCTTCTATATTGGGCACATCTACGCGCGCCCTTGCTAAGAAGAGGAGTCGGCATGGTCGAGAGCACGCCATGCCACGCGCCATCGGCAGACGTGCTTCCAGCTGTGTCGAGATCCTGCACGCAGCTCATGGCTGTCGAAACCGTGCCCAGCTCCGACTCCTTGCGTTGAAGATCTTCTCGACCATGCGTCGGACAAAAGTGCCACCGCCTGTCGCTCTCATCGTTTTCCGTGCCTACCTCGAGCCGAACGCGATCGAGGCAAGACTCTTCTCTGCCCCGCATCGCGTCTCCTTCTCGTCACGCGTCTGAGCTGGCAGAGCATTGACTCGCGTCTGCTCCACCCCACCGCTCTCGTCTTGAAGGCCGAACTGACCTTGACCGTGCTGCCTAGATATGCATGCTGGCCATGCTTTCGTTTTCACCACAACGTCCTCACCATCCTCCACCACCACCACCACCTGCCTTCTGACCCCTCACGGCTATCCGCTTGTTTCAGCACAACCTTTCCTCTCCCCCTCCTTTCCCTCCATATCCATCATCCGGCTACGAACACACATTCTTTTGGACAACACTCTTTCAAGCCCGTGACCACCATTTCAGCGACGCTGATAACAAATACAGCTCATTGACTGCACCAACGTCCGACAACATTTTGATCACTCTACTTCATCAAAAGAGCACTATCAAATCAGCGCTATCAAGCTAGGAGTCGCCGAGAGAAGCGTCGAGGCGGAACGACTATCGCACCTGCCGAAGAAGCCAGCTTCGCTTCCTTCTCACAGCACCGGTCACTGCACTGCGATACGTTCTGACACGCAGAGACCTCAGGAGACTGCTGCGATGTTTTCTCACACCAGACGGTCGGCTTCGTGGGCGTGGCTTTGCGCCCTCTTGCTCCTCGCATGGAAGGTCGAGGCCGAAGTACGTGTTGAGCGGCCAATCTCCTCGCAGCTTCCGACTATCGCCCGTTTCGGACAACCCTACACCTGGTCCTTCGCCCAAAATACCTTTGTAGACACAAACTCGACCGCTCCACTCCGCTATAATGCCACCGGACTGCCCTCTTGGGCAACCTTCGAGCCGTCCAATCGCTCCATCTCGGGAGTTCCACAAGGACCACCACCAGGTTCCTCCCGCGTTGGTACGAACGTAACCCTGATTGCGAACAATCCAGAGACGGGAAGCACGGCATCCACCACGTACCAGCTCATCGCAATGACCGGATCAGGCCCTACCGTCAACAAGCCGCTGGCACCTCAGCTACCCAACGCTACGACTCTGGGAGCAGACTCAATCCTGCCTTCGGGAGCTCAACGGCTCCCACTAGGCTGGTCCTTCTCTCTCGGATTCGCCGGCGATTCGTTCACTTCGGACAGCCACCGAGTGTATCTCTCAGCTGCCTTGGCTGACGGCTCTCCCTTGCCAGAATGGATGCACCTTGACCAGACCGTCACTCTATGGGGCGTGGCGCCTACAGATGTACACACGGCGGGCAGCTTCTACGATGTCGTCGTAACCGCAAGCGACGTGGCTGGCTATGCCGGCGTCAACTCCTCCTTTCAGATGGTCGTGAGTGGAGCCCCACTCATTCAATCGGCACCGTTCCCCATCATCAATGCAACAGCTGGACAGGAGTTCAGCTCCCAGCTGCCTCTCGAAGGAATCGTCGACTCGGCAGGGGCACCCGTGAACGTGTCGCAGCTGCGCGTCAGCGCCAACACCAGCGCAGTTGGTGGCTGGCTGTCTTTCGACGACACATCAAGAACCTTCTCCGGGACTGCTCCATTCAATCTCACCCAAGCTGAAGCCGTGTCCCTCACAGTTCCCGTGCTCCTGACCAACGCGACGGACCCGAACGCTGCCCCAGTACCCGCATCTGCTCGCTTCTCTGTCTATCCTTCGCCTTTCTCGGTATCGTCCCTGCCGGATGTGCAGGTGACGCCGGGCAAGATGTTCCAGGTGGAGCTCGGAACCTACTTCCGTGAAACGCAGACACCACCCCAGCTTACCCTCAATCCTGCATCGGCTAGTGACTGGATCCACTTCGATCCAATGGGCATGATCCTGTCTGGCAATGCTCCCAAAAAGGGGGCAGAGCGCGTCGAGGTGCAGCTTTCCCTCGACTCTGCCCATGCCGGCAGCGACTACAGGAGTGTCTCGACACGGAGTTTCGCCGTCAACCCGATACCTTCGTCGACGTCTCCCACTCCGCTCCCCGCACCAGGACGCTCCACGTCCGGTGCATCGTCGCCGACCAGCTCGAGTACTTCAACAGAGGGCTTCGCCTCTTCGGTCAGCGGCTCAGAGACGAGCTCACAAGGTCTCAGCTCAAAGGCCAAGATTGCCATCGCAGCCTCTCTGGGTGGTGTCGGAGGCCTGATCATGCTCATCCTGCTCATGATGTGCTGTCGACGACACTGCGCCGCCGAGGATCGCCACTTCCGTGGAGCACATCCCGACGACTACGCTTCCGATTTCGAGAAATCGTACGAGGGCAGGAACCTCGGAGACGACGAGCGCACTTTGGCCGACGACCGCTCTCCCAGGTTCGGGTGGGCCAGCTTGGGGCCGGCTGGAAAGAAAGCCGGCAAAGATAAAAAGGACGAGGAAAGCGCCAGTCCTTACCTGGATCCTTACGCTGCCCTCGCTGCCGACGGAACTCCGGCCACTCAGCGTTCGCCCTTCTCGGATGCGATGACACTGGCACCATCCG